AACCATAACGACTGCTGTTATTTTAGGTAAATTTATGTAAGCGTAAATTATATACCAGATATTTAATTGTTAAGGGGGGGGCGGTCGATTGCATGGAACGGTGCTCCTATCAAAAACTGGTCCCGATTGAGCCACTGACTCAGGAGGTGGTTAAAAGTCGGATAGCAAGGGATATAAGTAGACTTATGGTCCTTGCGGATTCTCTGAAACAGGAACTGGAGAGGTCGCAAGAAAGTCGCCTTAATGGGACCATGTCCACTGCGTAGTACATGTCCTCCAGGAAAGATAAAGATGAGCCAACAATTATTCGTGACTGTTTCATCTAACCTGAGAAAGGATATAATTCAATTTCTCGTGTTTGGGAACAGGTCCGACATGCAGCTGGACCAACAACGGGAAAAGTCCTTCAGGAGGGAAAATCTGAGGACTTTACGTACCAACCGGTCGTCTAAGACTGGAAGATGTGAATCTTGATCGAGCTCGGTGACTACCCAATCATCCTGATAAAACAACGGGAAACAAAACAAGTTCGAACGGAAGAACTCTAAATTAGAATACATACTGGCCCATAGCAAATTTTGCTGTATATCCTGTGTTGAAGGAAGATGAGGGTGTCAAGAAACTCGCGTGAAGATTGATGGAGTTCTTCCAGCTGGAGGGCCTTATGGACTCCTGACCAAACCTGTAGACTTCATTTTAATGAGTTTTTCTTGAAGAAGATTGATTAAAGGCTGAAAGGTCGATTACATAGTCGAGTCTTACTGTTGTTCTTGAGACCAGAAAATTATGTAAATAAAACCCAGAGCCTGTTGATTTATTACTCTATCTACTACTCTCTTCTGCAGAAGGGTGTGTACATTTAGCCATTACCTGTACTACTTTGGTCTGGTGATAGCAGAGGGCGTTCCCGGAACCAAAATGAACACTCATTTACGTAGAAATTATCATATGTTGGACATTATACCAAGCTTTTGCCAACTGGGATGATAGGAAGAGAAAAGCACAACAGAGGATGGGGTTTATAGGCACGGAGTCCATCATCTCATTGGAGATGGGGAGAAGTCGGAATTTTTTTTGGCTTGTCTTTCAGCCACCTTTGCTTCGAAAAACAATTGAGGAACAGGTTAAATCCAGGTTGCTTTGGAGAATGCCAAGGCTGTATCTGCATGAAAAGTCATAAGGGGATATCAATGTGAGTACGCTTCGTAATTGGTTGAAACAGGTCAGTCACCATTAAGAGGGACCAGTATTGTCCGATCCTATAAATCCTATGATGCCACAGAAGGGATGAGTCCCCTTCCTCAACTGAGAGAATATCTACATCCAACGGTGCTGATCATAGTAGGATTTTGCTATAGTCCCGTAAGATTTTGGAAGTCTCCAAAGTAACATCCCTATGGACGTAAGACAGTTACAGAGTTATATCGATATTAACAGCACATGCCAGGAAACAGTAACCAGAGTCCTTGCCCTAGAGCACCAATGTCTTCCAGGTTCTAATTGGGGAGGGTCCAAGTTCTTGTTAAAATAAAGATTTGTTCTTAGCTCCACTTTAGTAAACATTTTGCAATATCCATTCTCTACTGACAGGGAAATATCGACCCAATCCCTGTAGTCAGACCAATGATGGTGTTCCATTCACTTTAACTGGTAACCAGTGTTAGAGGACATGTGACCAATGTTGGAAAATTGGTGTTTGGCGCCTAGAGTTTACCGGTCAGGCGATAAAATTTTGATGGAGAGCTCAAACGCAAGATACATAGCGAGATTGCTGCTCTCCCTTTTGAAAGAGCAGAGTGATCTGCTCTTTGCATTCACTTAGCCCTTCTCTTAAAAAGAGTACTGCTCATGTTCTATACCAAGTGGTACACTTACTATCTTCCTTCTTTCTCCTTGTGAGGGATCCACGTTCAATCCCTATCAGGTAATGATGGCATCAGCATGATCATCAGAAATCCTTGGATCTATTTCTGCTTTATAGGACATTACAGATTACATACCCCTTACCTAGACATAATAAATCTTTGGTGAAAACCAAGTTTTAATATCACTTTACATTAACGACGAATAGTGGGAAAAATAGTTTTAAGATGGGTGCCATATTCGATGTCAGACTGGCACCATTCTCATTTGCGTGCATTATTAGAAGTCTGTAGTGAAAATCCCATGTTGATATTACCTTCCATTAAGGAGAAGTAGAGATAACAAAAGTGTTCAATATGGTTGACATGGAGGCTACATTTCATATCCTTGCGGCACTGGTTTCATTTACAATCAAATTAAAACCATGTTGATACGAGCATAATTTCAAAAAAGGAAAGATTGTCAACAGATGCAGTAATAACAAGATTTTCAGAATGGCTGTATTACCCACATTAGATATTTAGTGCTACCAGTTTCAATTAGGGCCAACAAGACACCATATAAAGTCTCCAGATGAAAACCCACGTTGATTCAGCTTTCCTTTCATAACAAGACTGAAGACAGCCGCCATGGTGGCCATATTGTAGAACATATCCACCCATTTCCCCATATTGATACGTTCATCCATCCAAAAGGGGTGGTGGTAACAAGATGAAAGATGACAAATAATGGATGACTGGTAAGTGGCTATTCCCAAAATTATTCTGGTGTATGACATTAATACTGCATGCAAATAGCATTATTATAATGCCATGATAAAAAAAATAGCTACCAAAACATTGACTTTGCAGATGGATGACATACAATTCCACAGAAGTATAAATGCATTTCGTGAACAGAAGTTACAAAGGGAGGCAATTGAACTTATTGCGATTGTATCTTGGAAGAGTTATTTCTCATATACATGACAAGGACACATCTTTTTATCCTTTCAGGAACGGCTGAGTTCAGAAAGGAGTGGAATATAATTGCTAACAGCAATGTGATTGGGTAATGCACTAATTGGGGAAAGGGAGGTATCAAGTTGTACAATTGTACACAATTGCCTTTCCCAGAAACACACTATAGTTTTTGATCTGGTCTGATTGAAGCACGATTCAAAGCTGTACCCTTCTGGTTCTGTATCTAGCACATTAAGCTGCCAGTCATCATGGATCTGCATTTTCAACTTGTTTTATTGTCCTAGGGCTGTCACACCACATGGTCTGAAAGATTATTTATAAACTTTAGTCTCTTAAAGGAACCAAAGTCAGGAATTCAAAATAAGACCATTTGTTCTTTTTTAACTGCAGTTTTCAAACATCTAATGCTCCAGTGGCCTAGTGGTTAGAGCATCTGCCTCAGATGGGGGAGGTCGTGGGTTCAATCCCCGGTCGAGTCATACCAAAGACTTACAAAAATGGTAGTAACAGCTGCCTAGCTTGGCGCTCAGCATTAAGGTTAGTGTTAGGACTGGTTGGCCTGATGTCAGGTTAATGTGACTGGGTGGACATCATGCTACATGTCTGTGGCATGATGCCCCAGTGCTAGACATCACTATAAACTGCCACTCTGCAGACATCATAGTGATATGATTGAAAAATTGTTAAAGCTATGTTAAAAAATTCCAATTCCAAATCACAAACATCTCTGATATTTTTGTAGGATAAGAGTTATAATTAGCCACAAGGTCAGTCATATTGGATAAAAGTTGGTACCATTTTCGTTTAGGATAAATAGACACAATTCAAGAGAAATGGTGGCCATACTAGAGGTCAGATCAGCATAACTATCAATTTGAACAAACCAGACAATATAGAAATTCTGGTGAAAACCCAATGATGTAAGAGGATTGGCAATAAGATTTTAAAGATGGATGTAGTGGTAGCCATATTAGACTGGTACAATATTTACTTAAGACTAACTAGATATTATAAGTCTCTGATGAAAACTCGATGCTGATAAAACATTTTGTTGAAAGTATCAAATTCAAAGATAGCTAAAGTGGTAGCCATATAGGATTTCAGATTGGCACCATTTTCATCATGGACAGACTAGACAATGTAAGATATCTTCTGGTGCAAATGACATTTTTATACGACTTTCCATTCAGAATGAGCAGCAATAATAAGACTTTCAAGATGCTGCTATGGTTGCCATATCTGACATCAGATCGACACTATTTTCATTTCAGATCACCTTGACATCAGAAAGCTGTAAAAGATTTTAGTGAAAACTGAACATCCAGAATTGATCTACGATAGGTGTAAAGCACAAACACAAAATCTGTAATATTAACTTTATTAGTTAACAAATCAAAATATTTTTATTAATTCATCTATTCAACTCTTAAACACATTGAATGTCAACAAAATGTTAATATTTCCTTATTTACAGATACATTTACAATAACACGATTATTGGACCCACTTAATTCATACACTTCCAATGACAGCACTGCCTTTTCCCTGAAATTTTAAATTCTGATGACCAAATATCCAAATGAAATCTAAGACCCCCAAAGGATCCAGATAATCAGCAATTTACTGTACTGTCAAACACATATTTATTGTCAATTCTAGAAATAACAAAATGTTTATTATTTATTCTACAATAAAACACGTTCTCTTCCTGTTTATAATAAAACATTTCACTCACATAACAGAGCATATGTTCACATCCTTTCAAAATTAACTCCATGTTTACTTCCCTTCAGTAAAGTGTATGTGTTCACTTCTATTCCAAAAAGTACTTGATTCACTTCTGTTCCAAAGTAAAGCACATGATTTACTTTAGTTCCCTAATTAAATAACACGGTTTACTTCAGTTCCCTAATAAAAGAACATGGTTCACTTCTGTTGAATAATGTGATGTGATTATGATTTTTAATGTAGCTTTAACAATTTTTTAGTCATATCGCTACGATGTCTGCAATATGGCAGTTTATAGTGATGTCTAGCACTGGGGCATCATGCCGCAGTCATGTAGCATGATGTCCCACCCAGTCACATTATCCTGACACAAGTCCTAACACTAACCTCTTAATACTGAGAGTCAAGCAAGGCAGCTGTTAGTACCATTTTTGTAAGTCTTTGGTATGACTCGACCAGGGATCTAACCCACGACCTCCCGCATCCAAGGCAGACATTCTAACCACTAGGTCACCGGAGCAGTTTTATTGAATAATAAAGCACTTTTTTATTCATTTCACTTCCATAACTGAGCAAATGTTCACTTCCTTTCCATAAAAAGCTCATGTTAACTTTCCTTCTGTTCAATAATAATACCTGTTCATTATAGAGCACAAGTTAACTTCCCTTCCATAAAAAAGCACCTGCTCACTCCTGTTTATAACAAAGCACATGTTTACATCTGTTAAAACAGTAAACGTTCACCTGAACCTACCATAATAAAATACTTGATTCCCTCATCTTCCATGAAAAACTGATTCGCTTATCTTCCCCAATAAAGCATGATCATTTCTACAATAAAGTACACAATTAACTTGACTTCAATAATAAAGCTCATTTCCAATAAATGACATAACACATTTCCACTTTCCTTCTATGCAGTCATAAACCAGATTTACTTTCATAATAAATTTCACTTTATACAGCAATATATTTTATAAGCATCTTGAGTTGTCAGAAAATGGATGATGGATTACAGTACTCAGTTTTGGTTTACTGACATTAAACATATGTGTTCCCCATTCAGATGAGGTAAACTAAGGTTGAAAGGCTTAAAGTTCACTTTGAAAATGAACAACAATCATCAAAAGACATATGTTAATTATGAAAAGTCTGTCCCTGCAACTGGAAAAGTAACCATCAGTTTCTCACTAAGTATGAAAGCAGTAAAATATCTAAAAAGTATGTTGTCCAAGTTCTATTTTATGTGAAGAAAGGTATGGGTTCAAGATTAAAACCACTGTTCTTCAGGAAAGTGTATTCATTTTTTTTTTGCTTTTGAAACTATGCCAGGACTGCAAACATCCTCAGGCCCCATTGGTCTATAGGTCCCAAAGACATACCTTTTCAGATTATTTACATATTCCATCTCTGACAGAAGGAATTTGAGTCTTGGCTTGCCAGTAGCTTTCTACAGGTTAGTGGGTTTCTTTTCCCTAGGGTTTTTCCCCATTCCCCCATGTTTTTTCTCCATCAAAAATACTGTCTGCCCCGTAGAGCCTATCATGAGGTGAAAAATGGCATTAAATCCCAGAATCAAATTCAATGTCTCCTAAAATATTTTTATATGCTTGAAAGAGAAACTTAAATGAGTAATTCAATTCTTAGTGAAAACTCTGGGCTGGGCATTTAAAAGACTATTTTACTTGTGATACATGCTGTGTATATCATCCTCTTTTTATATCTAATTACCCCCCCAACAAAAACCTGCCACTTTTATTCAACCCCAATTAATCACACAAGCTTGACCACTGTACTATATTTAAAAACAATAAACAACTGACATTCATTATACCATCGGTGAACAGCTATCCAATGCCAGATTTTCAATGTGCAACATTATTCAACCCCAATTAATCACACAATTTCTGTTTAAATTTATTTATGTTAATTAATAAATTGGTTTATTATAATTACATATTGTAAATTACAATGCCCATAATTATTTCAATTTGCATGTCAAAGTTGTTCGATAAGATCCATAAATAAGACCATAAACAAGAGGCCCTTGTGGACCTCATATGGTTCACCTGGCTGACATATATCTATATGCATGAGCAGTTTGCAGACAAATCTGAGCTGAAAGAATTTTTGTAAGTCTCTAATATGACTCAGATGGGGTTCAAACCCACAACTTTCCACCTACAACTAGGCCACCCGAGTGGTATAGTGGTTCTTATGAAGATGTCATTTAAAGTTACTTTCTATTTTTAGAAATACCTGACAGCAGATCAGCATTATATAAACAAATTTCAAAGAACTTTATGCCAGGTTGCTTACTGTTATATTGAGTAAAATTTTTGTTTAGCAATTTTTTGAGAAGATGTAAATAACAATTGTGAGTAGATGACATATGATGAAGTGGATGAAAGGCTATACTACAAGCTCACTTGGTGTTACAGCCAGGATAAGTAAAAGTGGACGAAAAAAAAGAAGCATTACAACTGAAAATCTGAGCAGCAAAAGCACTAATCCAAAATGTGTATATGATTTCAAGGAGATTAACTGAATGATTTGGGTTCTAATCCAGAGATGAAGTTTTGTACAGACATATATTGCAATTGTAACATCCACTAATATTAAATGGGAGAGGATAAAATTAAAGAAAGCTAAAAAATAAGATTACTGATTTATCTGTTGGTTTTCAAACGATGGCAAAGTGATTGTCAATATGAAATCTTTCTGTTTTGGATAATGGAACACTTTTCTTGAAGTCATAGGAAAGAGAATACTCTTTTAATATATTTTTTGTGTTCTCCACTGCTTTTGAAAATACAATGGAGATTTAATCCTACTCCCAACTGGAGATTGGATTGTCTGTTGCTACAGGAACCAACTAAAAGTTTGTGTATTTCCCAAGCTCCCTCTTCAAATATTCATAAATATTTCGTTCTGGAGAAATATTAATGAATCTGTACTGTGAATCAAGCTGAATCTGAAAAACAGAAGAAACAAGATTTTTATTTTTATAATTTTAATTTGTAATTTTATCTAATTATTGCACGGTTTCTACTTTATAATGTATTAATCATTATTTAAGGGTGTCAATTTTCATGGTTTACATGGGGCAGTTGGACCGTGAATTTTAGGTCACAGTTAAAAATTAATCATGCCATGATTCAGATGGGTCAGACTAGGCCCAGAACTGCTGTCCAAAAGCTTGTACAAATTCAGGACAATACAGATATCAGAATATTACTCAATAAAAAAAATCATATGATGTTCACAGAATAATTAAAAATATGCAGTAATTCACAAAGCAATATTTTATTATTAATAAGACATAAAATTACAATGATTTGTAACAATTTTTTAGCTCAAGCTCTATTACATGTACTTGAAGAAATAATTAGCATAACACTAATTACTAAATCAAAATAACTAAATACATATGATCAAAAAAGTTTTATTTATGTTTCTATGAATGTCTGCACAACAGCACCAAATGATTTCTGATATGTGTCCAAGAACATGAATAGGCAAAACAAAATTACATTTAAAAAAAACTCTTAATTAAAAGTGTAAATATTACTCCTAACCAATATGCATAATATTTACTATTTTTAATATTATCTTACTATTTTTTATAGTATCTTAATATTTATAATATTATCTTCCTATTTTAATATTAACTTACTATTTATAATTTCATCTAACCATTCATAATATTATGTCATTTTAAATATGATCTATTTAGAAAATTAACTTCTTATTTATCTTACTATCTTAGTACTTTTAATATTAGCTTCTTATTTATAATATTATCTTCCTATTTTTAATATCTCACTATTTATAATTTTATGTTATTTTTTAAAATATAAATTAACTATTTACAATAGTGTTATTATTGTAAATATGATATAACTTTATACCATTAACTTATTACTTATTATACTTTCTTAGTATTTTTAATATTAATTTATTATTTATAATATTATCTCATTATGATTAATATTATTTATATTATCTTTCTCTGTTAATCATGTTATATCATTTGTTATTGACTGGAAAGGAAACTAATATCCAGTGAATGCAATATGTCACAGATGAATTGTGACGGATTAACACAGGAAACTTGAAATATTAATTATTTGATTTTAAATATTAAAAGTACATACACTAGATTATAAGGAAATTTTTTTTATTTTACTATGTGACTTTATACCATTAAAATATCAGAAAGAGTTCAGGAATGTGAAAGATGGGATGGCATTTCACCATTTAAAGACCAAATGTCCTCAAAAAATAGCATTAATATATAAATAAATATCTGTAATACAAAAGATCAACCTACCTAAAAAGAAACACACTGTTTTAGAATGGCATTATGTGACATTTTCTTTTGCCACTGATTTCCACTTGCACTCAACATTTTGCAGTTACATTAATTTTGTTTTATTCCACAGGTAATTGTTTACATACATGAACTATGTGTACAGTATAATCTTTATTTGTTTACAAAATGTTTCTCTATAAAAAAAGTAACAATTCATCTCTTAAGAAAATCTAATGATAACAATTCATTTTTTTATGATTGTGAAACAATTTCATACAGGATTTGTTGATTATTTTATACTAAAGAACATTTGAGATTCAGATTAGATTGTCTGCAGATACACACTGAACAAATAAGCAAGGGAAATCTTAACTTGAAGCCTGCATGATGTCATTACCATTATTCAATTGGAAAGCATCTTACATTACACAATGTCAACAATATGGTGAATCCCATGAATACATACATAATATGATCGATGCATGGCCATACAAAGAGTCAATGAAATTAGGTACATATCAATAGATCAAATTCTTTGACGTATCTGCATAGTTCAGATTACTTCAATACCCCTACATTAAAGCAATTGATCCAGAGTACCAAAACCTCATCATCTTACAATAATCCTGCAAAATGAAAATAATTCCAGAGTAGCTAGATCCTTTCATCCCACACTAAAGATAAAGATTTGGAGTAATTGCACCTTATCACTCTTCAAATATCACTTTACTAAGCCACAAATTCAAGTGCCCATGAAAATAAAAAAATATTACAGTATATACAGCTGACAAAAGATATCATAAATTAAAATATTGGTTAGAATGAGAGAAGATTTAGAATCGAAGGTGAATATGTTCAGTATCCAAAACAACTCTGATTAATGTTTGCTATTTCAAAACCCTATTTTTATATGATCAATCAACATGCTAATTTACAAGAAAACCTCTCCCAAAACTAAGTTTTCTCACATTAGTATCAATACAATGTCAATGAATCATTAATCTTTATACCTTCAATATTCTCAGGCAATATTTAAGAAATCTGAAACAAATAATGAAGTTCCACTTAACAGTTTTGTATTTTGCACAGGGAAAATATTTTTAATAATAAAGTGGCTCAAGTGGACCCAAGACTGCTCACCATGCTGATATTGACCAAACAGAGATGTTGCCAGGATTTTATTTAAAGGCAGGATCTCCCCTTTC